ATTTTTTCACATCTAGAAATTTGAGTCTGTTGTTATATCTCATATGTTGCTTCTGAACTCTTTTGAACATGTGAAATAAAGTTATAATAGCTGTTTTAATGACTTGGCTGCTAATTAAAACATCTGTAAGTTCTAGGTTGGTTTTGCTTGATTGATTTATTACCTCATGATGTGTCTTATTTTCCTGCCTACTAATTTTTCATTGAATACAAGACTTTGTTGGATACTGGATATTTTTGTATTCCTGTAAATATTCTTGAGCAGTTAGGTTACTTGGAAACAGTTTGTTCCTTTGTGTCTTGCTTTTAAAATTTATTAGGCAGGTCTGGAACAGTAGTCAGTCTAGAGCTAATTATTCCCCTCTACTGAGGCAATACCCTTTGTGTACTCTGCCTCACACCCCATGAATCTTGAAGTTTTCCTGTCTGCCTGTTGGGGACAGGCATTATTCCTGGCCAGTATTAATGATAGGTACTATTTCTTCTAATCTTTTTCAGTGGATCTTTCCCTGCCTTTGTATAGTTTCCTTGCATGTATGCACTGATTAGTGCTCAACTGAATATTAGAGGGGGATTCTCTGCAAATCTTCAGAGTTTTCTTTCTCTTCTCCCTGGTACTGTCGACTATGAACTGTTAGCCATTTGTCTTCTCTGGACTCTCAGCTTTGTCTTCTCAACTCAGAGAATGCTCTGGGCTCTCTCTGGGTGCCCCCTCCTTAAACTGTGGTCTAGAAAACTCTCAAGATAGTAATCTGGGTCAATTATAGTGCTCACCTTGTTTGTTTTCCATCTTTCAGGCATCATTGTCCTTTGTTGTTTGACATCCAATCTTGCAAACCATTGTTTCATACATACTGTCTATCTTTTGGTTATTATAGGTGGGAGGGTAATCCAGTCTTTGTTCAAAAGCAGAAGTCCCTATATGAATTTCTGACTTCTATACGTTATTCTGAGGTTGATGATAGCATTTTTCAGTATAAAAGGTTTATATATTCAAAAGCCCTTTGGAATCTTCTCATTTAAAGAGGGCATCCCCTGGCCATTCCATGAAATTCCTAGAATATATATGTAAATTTGAGTGCCATCTGTTTTTTGTAATAGCAATCATGCCTCATTGCTTGGTGTTGGGCATATTACTATTTCATAGGAAATTGGGTTCTTTTAGCAAGGAAAAAGAAGTAAATTCATACTGGTTAAATAAACACTAGTGGTGCCTACCACAAATCTTATACAGATGGTCCCCAACTTAATGATGGTTCAACTTATGATTTTTCAATGGTGCAAAAGCAAAACACATTCAGTAGAAACCATACTTCAGATTTTGAATTTGATCTTTTCCTGAGCTAGCAATATAAGGTACAATACTTTCTCATGGTGCTGGGCAGTGGCAATGAGCTGCAGCTCCCAGTAAACCACGTATTCACTAGGTTAAACAACCGATGTATGTATAAGCATTCTGTACCCATATAACCATTCTGTTTTTCACTTTCAGTATAGTACTCAATAATTACATGAGATATTCAGACCATTTGTCCAACTATAGCCTAAATGTTAGTGTTCAGAGCACATTTACAGTAGGTAAGGTTAAAGCTATGATGTTCAGGTTAAGTGTATTAAATGAATTTTTGACTTAGGATGTTTTCAACTCACAATGGGTTTACTGAGATGTAACCCCATTGTAAGTCAAGGAAGATCTGTAGTATTGAGGGTTTCTGAACTAGCCATGGATTTCATCAAATATTTAGGTACTTTCATTCATCAATCTCTGTGTAAAATCACAATTAAGTAGAATTTTGCTCCCTTTTGTGTATCTCTTTCAGAAAAAGGCTTTGCCAAATTTTTTTTATCTATTAAAGGGTCATAAACTTTACAACTATGTAACCATCTCTATAGTAGGTTATAAATAGAGCTGTAATCAGTTAGAAAGGAGAAACTGGGTCTTACAGAATACACTGGCAGAACTTTGAGCCTGGTAGTTATTACACTTTCAAATGTCACATACCAGTAAAAGGATTCTTGTCTAGTCAACTGACAAGTGCTTTTAAAATACAGTAACTTCCTTCTTGTCCTAAATTGCTCTTTTTTACCCTTGATTTTCTTATTACTTACCTTCTGCTATATACACAATTTTCTTACCACTGTTCTCCTTCCCTTTAGATCCACTTTTCTCTGGTTTTCTCAGTCAACTCTTCCTGTAGAAGTGATACACAAGAGCATATGTAGAGGACCTGTAGTATTTAATTGATTTCCTTGAGCTTTTAGCTCACATTTGAATTTAATTAGTCTGCTCTCTGTTCTTTCAGGTGTCCTTCAAGTAGTGAAGCAATATGTCCAGATCCCAGTTTTTGCGATGATTCGGCCACGTGGAGGTGATTTTTTATATTCAGATCGTGAAGTTGAGGTGATGAAGGCTGACATTCGTCTTGCCAAGCTTTATGGTGCTGATGGTTTGGTATTTGGGGCATTGACTGAAGATGGACACATTGACAAAGAGCTGTGCATGTCTCTTGTGGGTAAGATTTTGTATCTGAGACCAAAAAGCCTCTAAGGATGATTGCATTTAATAATTCTGATACAGAAAAATGTGATCACAAAACTGACTTTTCAGTCATATCTGCAGGAACTTACAGTAACCTGTTTTAAACAGTAGTTATTTAGGTGTTTTGGCAGAGGGTATATGCGGCATAGCCCTCCTGACTTTCCTCACTTGCTATGAATCAGGTTCTGGTACTGTTCCTGTAGGACTTAAGGGAAGTTTACCTTGATTTCTTTAATCACTGTACCAAAACTTCAAAAGCTATTGCATTTGGTGAGGATGGGGAGAAGTGGAGAGGACAGAAGCAAACTACCTACATTACTAGGCAAAGTATTTCTTGAAGATTCTCAGATGTAAATAGACGTAATGTTGCCCTTGCATTGTCAGATCATATAATTTGTACTTCTTTCCCTTAGGAGTGGATGACCATTTAAAAAAAAATATGTAAAGTGGAAACATAGGACTCTGAACTTGGAAGGTTGCCATTTTATTATTTTAGTTCACTGTTCTCACTTCTTAGGAAGGGAAAACATTAAAAAAATAACGTGGAGAATTCTTTGTATAATAATCAGTGATGATCTCCTCACTCATATTATTATTTGACTTTTTTTTAAATAGCTATTTGCCGTCCTCTGCCAGTCACTTTCCACCGAGGTGAGTCATTTCCATTTTAGAAGTTCTATTAAATGGTGTCAGGTCTCTAATTTCACCAATACCTTTTTATGAAACACAATACTATAGTGTTAAAGTCTTACCAGTTGGTTTCTTATACTGATATTGGGACTAACAGTTGTAAATTTTGAGATTCACAGTTTCTAGAAAATTTGAAGCTTAGTTATGAATAGTTGTTAAAAGTAGGTGATGGTGAAAAAAAAAAGTAGATGGTGGTGGTAGTGGTAATGGTGGGAAATAATAGACGGAGAAAGTAAGCATTGCCTACAAGCATGTCCTTTTTACAGCATTCCAAGCAGGAATCCTGAGATTGATTTTTATTGGATTGCCTTAGGTCATGTGCAGCCCCCAAAGGAATATATCATTGTGGCCAGTGAAATTGAAATGTACTGCCCAGCTTAAGCCAGACAAGATTGTTCCTGGAACTAGGGGTTAGATCAGCAGATAAATGTAAGATTCATAGACAGTCTTAGGTATCTGAAGAAGAATTGGATAATATTTGGAAGGAGGAAAAAAGAAATAAATGCTGCCTAGGCAATGGATAGATGTTCACTATAGTTACTGATAGCTTGTTTACATTAGAATGATTTTTAAAAAGTGATAATTTCATATAAAAAAATACTATCTATAAATCCAGTTATATAGTTTCCGTACACTTTTGCCAAGCTTTGGTAAAATGGAGGAACAAGTGTCAGTTTCTCTTGCAGATGGCACTCAATTGCCCATGAAAAGTCTTCAGTCAATTTTTTATTATTTGACTTGATATATTTGAGAAATTGTTGAATGTTTTTCTGTTCTTTTGATTAAGCATTTAAAGATTAGGATGAGAGTGGACAGCACCATTTACATCTATTTATAGAAATTAGATATTAAGTACTTGTTATTCTTGTTTCTTTTTAAAATGGATAATACCAACAGAAAACTGTTTTCTTGTTAGCTACTTAGCAATGCTTCTCATAAACTAGCAATAACGAAAAGATGGTAAAGTGCTTAAAAGTCAGCACCTTAAGGCTAACTATAAAAAAGATTTTAAATATGAAAAGCAATTTAAATTGTCAACATTTATCTGAAAAATATATAGTTTAAAATTTGACATGCTAAATAATTAAAAGGTAAATCCATCAATAGATTTTTCTGTTCTTAAACTAAGAAAATCATTTAAATTTTGTTCATTTCCCTCAATAAGTTAAACAAAAAATACTTTCATGTTTTAAAATTTTTACATTCTCCTGGGTTCCACATTTTTTTCACCCATGTTTAATGAGGTAGTATGATAGTGTAATTATTGGTGAGAAGGTACTGCCACCAAAAAAAGAAAGTCCTCTGTGGTAGATTTTAAATGTCTACATGTACAAAAGGGTAAAAGGAAGGGGTTTAGCAGCTAATCCACTGTAGATTAGAATTTCCATGAAACACACCCATATATGACAGTGAACTTAATCAATAAATGTTGGCTTTATTGTGGCTGCTCTACCAAACAGCTATTCGCCCATCTTTCTCCCTCTCCTCAGACTTTCCTCTTACCCGAGACATAACAATATTGAAATTAGACCAGTTAGTAATCCTGCAGTGGCCTCTGAGTGTCCAAATGAAAAGAAGAGTCCCATTTCTCTTACTTTAAATCAAAAGCTAGAAATGATTCAGCTTAATGAAGAAGGCACGTCAAAAGCCAAGATAGGCCAAAAGCTAGGCTTCTTTCACTGAACAGTTAGCCAGATTGTGCATGCACAGGAAAAATTCCTGAAGGGAATTACAAGTGCTACTCCAGTGAACACATAAATGATAAAGAAAACAAAACAACCTATTGCTGATATGGAGAAAGTTTTAGTGGTCTGGATAGAAGATCAAACCAGCCACAACATTCCCTTAAACCAAAGCCTATCCAAAGCTAGACTCTAACTCTCTTCAATTCTGTGAAGACTGAGAGGGGTGAGGAAGCTGCAGAGGAAAAGTGTGAAGCTAACAGGTTGGTTCATGAGGTTTAAGGAAAGAAGCTGTCTCCTTAACATAGAAATGCAAGGTGAAGCAGCAAGTGCTGATGTAGGAGCTGCAGCAAGTTATCCAGAAGATCTAGCTTAGATAATAAAAGTGGCTACACTAAACAGCAGGTTTTCCATGTAGATGAAATGGCCTTCAATTGGAAGAAGATGCTGTCTAGGACTTTGATAGCTAGAGAAGAGAAGTCAATGCCTGGCTTCAAACTTCAAAGGACAGGCTAACTCTCTTGTTAGGGGATAATGCAGCTGATGACTTTAAGTTGAAGCCAATGCTCATTTATCATTCAAAAAATCTTAGGGCCCTTAAAAATTATGCTAAGCCTACTCCTCCTGTGCTCTATAAATTGAACGACAAAGCCTGGATGAGAGCATATCTATTTATGACATAGTTTACTGAATATTTTAAGCCTGCTGTTGAAACCTGCTGAAAGATTACTTTCAAAATATTACTGCTAATTAATAATGCACTAGGTAACCCAAGAGCTGTGATAGGGATGTACAATGAGATTATGTTGTTTTCATGCCTGCTAACACAACATTCATTCTCTAGCCCATGGATCAAGGAGTCATTTCAACTTTCAAGTCTTATTATTTAGAATATACATTCTGTAAGGCTATTCCAGGCATGAATAGTGATTCCTCTGATGGATCTGGGTAAGTTCATTGAAAACCCTTCTGGAAAGGATTCAATATGCAAGATATCATTAAGAGCATTCATGATTCATAGGAAGATACCAAAATATCAACATTAATAGGATTTTGGAAGAAGTTGATTCTAACCCTCATGTATGACTTTGAGGTGTTTGAGACTTCAGTGAAGGAAGTAATCGTGTATGTGATGGAAACAGCAAGAGAACTAGAATTACAAGTGGAGCCTGAAGATGTGACTGAATTGCTGCAACCACATGATAAAACTTTAATGGATGAAGAGCTGCTTCTTATGGATATTTCTTGAGAAGGAATCTACTCTGCATGAAGATGCTGTGAAGATTGTTGAAGTGACAAAAGATTCAGAATACTACATAAACTGAGTTGATAAAGCAGTGATAAGGTTTGAGAGGACTGGTTCCAATACTGAAGGGAGTTCTACTGTGGGTAATAGGCTATCAGACAGCATCACATGCTACGAGAAATTGTGAAAGGAAGTCAATCGATGCAACAAACTTCACTGTCTTCTTTTAAGAAATTGCCAGTCACCCCATCCTTCATCAGTCACCATCCTGATCAATCAGCAGCCATGAACATCAGAGTAAGACCCTTTATTAGCAAAAAGATCACAGCTCACTGAAAGCTCAGATAATGTTTAGCATTTTTTTAGCAATCAAGTATTTTTTAATTAAGTTACATACATTATTCTTTAGACAATGTTATTGCCCACTTAACAGACTACAGTATGAAGTAAGCATACTTATATATGCACTGGGAAATAAAAACATTCATTTGACTTATCCTATTGCAATATTCCTGGAACTGAACTCGCAGTTTCTTGAGGTATGCCTGCAGCTTTTCTCTTTGAGGTTCCTGGTGCTACTTTCCTCTCTGAAGAGGAGAGAAGTCTCTTATAAAAGGATGGCATTAAAACTTGTCATCTGTTGTAAACAATTGTCCTTGTGCTGTGAGCCTTCAGTATGTGGGATAAGTGGATTAGTACAAAATGCTAATAATGAGAATGCCTTTTTTGGAACTGGTGAGTGTAATGTTTCATTCTACTTGTCTGGTTTGTCTAAAGCTTTAGAGCAGAGTTTCCCGAATCCTAGTCACTTATTTATCATATTTACAATTTTACCATATCTATGTATAATCTGCAAATTTATTTAATAATTTTCTTTAAATAAAATCTAAAGTGAATTTACTTTAAAGAGAAATTTTTGTAACTAATGAAAAATAGAAATGTTTCACTTCTTACTTCTATTTAAGTAAATACATTTATTCAGTGTGTATCATCAAAATGATCACCCTTACTACCAGTGGTGTGTGGACTGTGATGTGCTGGTAAACTGGCTCTTGGGGAAAAAAAGAATACAGAGTTGCGGTATTTATTGATTTCTGTTGTTTAAATCCTCCCACCTTGACTAATTTCAAGCTGCCAATGGACAACAACCATGCTTGCAAAATTCTTAAATATTTAACAATGGCTCAAACAAGCCAGTACAAGCTAGGTGCAGCCCACCACTGTATATAGTCTACATTTTGGAACACACTGTATTAGAGAATATCCGGTAAAAATTTAAATCAGTTTTATTTATTTCAGCCTTTGACATGGTTCATGATCCAGTGGCAGCTCTGGAGACCCTTTCCACTTTGGGATTTGAACGAGTGTTGACCAGTGGATGTGACTGTTCAGCACTAGAAGGGCTACCCCTGATAAAGCGACTCATAGATCAGGTACACAAAATTTCTTTCCTTTCTTCCTAAGACTGTTGTGGTTACTCCTGATATTCTGTTGTTCAGCTAAGTTAAAAAACTCAGTATTACTTTGTGGTTACCCTCTAGGAAAAAGCAAGCAGGAATTCTTACTGCTTTCACTTGAGTAGTTTTAGTAATCAAGGCTCTTAAGATCAAATTATAGACAGTGTCTAAGGATCTGATCTAACTTAGATAAACACAGTAAATTTTACCTCTTCTCTGCCATCAGGGTTACATAGTTTTAAGCCACATCTTCTCACACTCAGCCTTTGTATATTCAGGGAATTCCATATAAAATTTGAGATGATTATCATTTGGAGGTAAACTCTAAATCTGTAATTGTATTCTTTCATTTCTCCCTGTCTGTCAAGATAGGAGGTAATATATTTTTCTCTTGTATGAATCCCCCTGGTGAGTTAGCATCATTTGTAGAGCAGTCAAAAGGTGGCATTATAACTGTAGTATGTCTGTGTTTTTCTGACCAGTCCAGAGGCGTTCTAAATTAGTGAATATGGACTTTGAGTTGAGAGAGTTCTGGATTTGAGACTCAGGAGTGATACTTACTGGCTGTGTAATGTTAAGTAGATTACTAACCTTTAAGCCTCTGTTTCTGTGTGTGAAATTGAGATAAGTTCAATACCTCCTTTATAGGGTTGCTTTGATGATTGGTAGAGATATGTATGAGCTTTAGCATAGTTCTTGACATGTAGTAGATCTTTAGCTTCCCTACTACTATTATTATTATTTAGTGTTCCTGTTGAGACCTCTGATTATGTTCACTTTTCTACGGCTATGAAAATAATCATCAGAAATTTCACCTAATGATCTGTTGTGATTGCTAGTCTGGAACTTACTGATTTTACAAATATTTATTAAGTATATATTAGGTGAAGGGCATTTTTACTATGGTGGTGGCCAAGGTGTGTGTGTGTGTGTTTATGTGTGTGTGTGTGTGTACATGTAGTCACTGCCCTTAAAATCTAGCACACAACAGGCACTTTTAATAAAGTAGGCAATTTTAATAGACTGCTGTTTAAAAAAAGGTACAGTGGGGGCATTTTGAAGAGGAATTAACCCCAGACTGGGGGGATAGGGGTTGGCAGTATTTAGCTTCCCAGAAGAGACACCCACACTACAGTGTCTTACTCATTTGAAGGATGATTAGGAGTTATCATCCTTCAAAAGGGGGAGGGGAAGTAGGAAGGGTAGGTGAATATTTCATGCAGAATGCATCATATATGCAAAGGCTTGGAAATAAAAGCGAGCATGACTTACTACGAGCTTGAAGAATGTCCAGAATATGGATGTGAAGGGAAGAATGCATCCAGAGTCTTGAAAACTATT